GTTTCAATCACCGACCACCACTGACAAAGCTTTCATGTAATTTGCTACCACCAAAAATGGTGATGGCCACAACTTGGGAAGTTTTAAAGAAGGAACTAGATAAATTCATAAATGTCAGTTCCATCCATTGGTTACTCTTCCATATGGCTATCTGCAGCCTTACAAGTCGAGGCACACATTTCTCTGAGTTGAGTGGACTCCAGAAAACTTAATTTATAAGCTATAATTTTTGAGTTTATAAACATGCTAAGCCAAATTGAAGCAAATCATTTCATACCTTAGCTCAGTCCATGAGTGTTACTATATTGAATATCCCAGAGTATATCCGTTCTTTTAGTAGTAAAGTAGTGGGGGCACAAAAAGTCCACGTTAGAAAAACACAAATGACTCAGTCATGCAAAGGTTTCAAAGAGCCCCTGAATTTCACACTTTGTATTTATTTCAATTTTTTTTTGTTCTCTTGTGTTTGGTAGCTTGGAGATACCTGAGGCATTTGAAATAAAGACCAAAAAAGAGATGCTAGACAGAAATTAATATATCTCTCTTTGCCTCTCATAACTTTACACCTTGGAAGATATTCAAAAGAGAGTAACAATAAACTAAAGGACGAAAATGGATATCATACAATGCATTGTGATTTTTTTTAAAAAAATGTATAATTTCAGAAGGCAAGGAAATTTATCTCTGTGATCAAGGAACTCATATTCTTTTCTTTACTGGAAGCAGAATTGTATTGCTTCATGTCTCAGCAGGTGACANGTTGCCTTTGTTACATTTGTGTTGTATTTGTGCTGATTTGTGCTCCCTTTATTTATTTATCAGCACAAATACAACGTATGTATGTATGTATGTATGTATGTATGTATGTATGTATGTATGTATGTATGTATGTATACATAGTTTTTATATAATGTTTTCGTAGATTTCACAGTTGTAGGTATGCTGGTCAACAAGACCAGCATACACACACACACACACAACTACACATATACATACATACATACATACATACATACATACATACATACATACATACATACATACATACATACAACAGTCTATTGTTTTATTCTTGTCCTACTTGCTGGCTATCTTGTGTCATTCGGAATTAGTCAGTTTTACAATTCCTCCTGGAAGAAAAGGAGAAAATTAGTTTTATAATAAAGAACTAATAGTAGACTAACTTCATTTCTAAATTGTGTGAGCTGTTTCATTTCGTACAGTGTATTCTTATAGAAATTGCTGAGAGAACCATTAATCAAAAATAAAAAAAAGATAGTGGATGACAGGGTTTTCCCACCTGAACTGAGTCATGTAGAGCTAAAAGGAACTGAGCGACTGAACAATATATGATACCATTTGTCCTTTTGGGCCACCTTCTAGTGAACATTTTGAGAACATGTGGCCAATCTTGCAAACTATCAGCAAAGCTAGAACAAAGTTGCAATAATGGACATCCCCAATCCCATAGAATTTACACAAGGCTCTCTCCCAGAAGGTGGCTTTATATTACATCTACTTCAGAGGTGGCTTTCACATAATTTTACCACCAGTTCACCACGCACCAAAACTATAAGCGAACGCCTTCTGCGCATGCACTTTGTTATCTCGTGCAGCTTGAATGCAGGCGTGCGGCTTAAAAAAACTTGACTGAAAAAGATGGCATAGTCCACCCGCAGGTTGCCACTACCAGTTTGTCCAAACCGATCCGGACCGGCTGAATACCACTACTGATTTGCTTAACATTGGGCATACTTTTTCTTGATATATGAGTAGATTCCCAAAGTATTTGCTTGCAGCTACTTATTATTTCATTTTGCGAGAATTTTTTTTTCCATTTTGGAATTGTTGGAAATAAAAATAATAATAATGTTGGAAAGAGAGTTGCATTTCGATATATTTTTTTTAGCATGCCAGTTTTGCAATTATGGTGAAATCAAAATATTTTTAAAGGCAAAATCAAAGGAGGGCAGAGTGAGGGAATGGCCCCAGATGTGCTTATGTCCCAAGGTATAATGTAGAGAAATCACTTTTTAGAGAATTGAGGACCCTTGAGTATAGAAACATAAGTTGGCCATCTTGATTGTTCATACACAACACTCAGAGTATTCAAACTATTTATCGCATTATAGTTAAAGCTAAGCCACCAGAATATCTTTTGAAGTTAAAAAAAAAACTATGCAGAAAGCAAAGGAAAACTTTCACTAGAGCATTTAGATTCTCATTCTCATTCAGCAAGCGAAAGCATAAGTGCAGAGGGAGTTACACCAAAAGATTTTTTTTATTCCAATGCAAATAACACACACACACACAAACACACACACACACACAAATGAAGGAAAGCCACATTCTCTGATGTTATCTCTTTCAGTGTGTGATGTGTTTGTGGTGGCCCAAGGGAATCAATTCAATCGTAGGATGTAATACAGTATTGTCTAGTAAATATAACCACTGAATAGGAAATATGTACCCCAGATACAGATATAGAGATACACCTACATATACAGTTTTCAGATTAGCAATAATCTCAAAAATACGAATGGAGTTTAAATATCTAGAGGAAGATAATTAGAAAAAAGAAACTCAAAATATTTTCCTAGGCTCATGAGAAAAGCCATGAAAAATCTAGACAGCATCCTAAAAAGCAGAGACATCACCTTGCCAACAAAAGTGTGTATAGTCAAGGCTACAGTTTTCCCAGTTGCAATGGATGGCTGTGAAAGTTGGGCCATAATGAAGGCTGAGCACCAAAGAATGGAGGCCTTTGAACTCTGGTGTTGGAGAAGACTCCTGCGAGTCCCTTGGACTGCAAGGCCATCAAACCAGTCAGTCCTAGAGGAGATCAACCCTGACTGCTCTTTAGAAGCCCACATCCTAAAGATGAAACTCAAATACTTTGGCCACCTAATGGAGAAGAGCCTGATGCTGGGAAAGATGGAGGGCAAAAGAAGAAGGGGACGACAGAGGTGGCTGGATGGAGTCACTGAAGCAATCGGCATGAGCTTAAGTGGACTCCGGGGGATGGTAGAGGACAGGAAGGCCTGCAGAAATGTTGTCTATGGAGTTTTGATGGGTTGGATACGACTTCGCAACTAACAACAACATAAATTAAGTAAATACATTTCTCTTCTTTGAAGTTCATGGACTTTTATATATCATTCTGGTGGCCTGAAGTGACCCAGTTGGCTTCTGCGCCTACAGGAGGACTAGTATCTGAATCTCCTTTTGTAATTCAGTACCTTAACCAGGATCCCACACTGACTCTCACATTCCTTACATAAAAAAACTATAAATAAATCTGATCATACTAGGGTTCTTAATAATATAGAATTATGGCAGCCCGCCCAAAGATGCATGAGTTGAAAAATCAAAATAGAATGTCAGCTCAATGATAAGCAGAACTAAACAGAAAGAATAGTGAAAGGGAAGAAGATGATGTAGGGTATGTGAAGGTGAAACGGTATGAGAAGTTGGCTTTTGGCATTTTGAATGTACAGTATGTAGTCATCTTATCCATCCATATCTTCTGAGAAGCAAGCTCTATTAATCTTAGTGGGACTTATGCCAAGTAAGCATGTATAGGATTTAGTCTTCACACAAGTTATGGTCAATTAATTTTTTTTTAACAGAACAATCCTATTCATGTTTATTTGAAAGTAGGTCTCATCAAGGTCTTCCTTAAAATTTTGAAAGGCCTAGAGGCAAAACATTTATTTATAGTTTCTCCTTCTCTCTCTTTACTATTCCTTGACTCCTACATCAATATATTTTTCTTCACTGAAATTTCAGAGCTCATCTCCATGATTAAAGTCTGGTGAACAACTGAATTAATCCATTTAACTTTCTTGCCAGGATTTTGGGTTATTGTGTGCCACTACCTCCTTCCTAGGGCTGAGAGAGTGTGTGGGGCATAAGGTCACCAGCTGACTTGTGCCTAAGACAAGATTAGAACTCATGGTGTTCTGGTTTCCAGTGTGACTTTAANCCCTCCCTTACACACGTAGAAAAAGAATGAAAAAGGAAAATAAAAGAAGGGGGAGGGAGACATCCGTTCATCAGATCCATATATGATGGAGGAGAAAGGTGCAATGGATGGAAAGAGAGGAAAATAGCAACATCTCCCCGACCCCTCTGAAGGAGGAATCATAGAATCCATAGGGTTGGAAGGGGCCTTGGAGGTCTTCTAGTCCAACCCCTGCCCGAGGCAGGAGTCCTCATCCCATCTTTGACAAATGAATGTCCAATCTTTTTCTTGAAAGCTTCCAGTGATGGAGCTCCCACAACTCCGGGAGGCAAGCTGTTCTCTTGCTTAATAGTTTCTCACCATCAGGAAATTCGTCTTATGCCCAGGTTGGATCTCCTTCTTGGGATCTTTCCATCAATTCATTGCTTCTTGCCCAGGAGAACCAGAACTAGCTGTCCAGCCTCCTCCCGGTTTCCCAAAGCAGGCAGTATTTGAGTTATGCAATAGAGAGCATCCCCTGCAGAAAACCCGTCATCTTATCTACAAGTTGTTCTTCTCCTCCTCTATTTATTCGCTAGGCTGCCTACTTCAGAAGCCGAGCAGCTAATACAACATGAAACTTGCAGAAATCACCTTCGCTCCGGTCCCATATCAATGGCATCTTTGAGCAAGCTCAGTAGACATTCAAAGGCAGCTCTTCTTAATCTGTCTCTCCCCTCCAGCCCCCCCCCCCCTTTTCAGCATTTCATTCTGAATCGAGGAAGGGTCAAGGCTTGGAAAGAATAACATGTTCTTTTTTGCATTTCTGCTTAAATCTCGCAGCTTCTGGAGGTAACATCCCCACCAAGCTGTCAGTCTTCCCTGCAGAACACAATGAGCCATAGCAGAACATTTTGTTCAGCTGGGGTGAGGGGGGGGGGGAAACAAACCAGATGAAGGCTCAGAGGCTAGGGAGGGCTGCCTGCAGATCTACCCTTTCCTGCGGGTGATGGTGGTGATGGTGAAAGACTATTAAGGGGAAGAAGAAGAAAAACATCCTTGTGGACTGATAGCCTTAGTACAAATGCAGATTCCATGGTGATGTGAAGCTTACAGCTTCTATCTTAACTTGAACAGCTTGAAGAGAGAACAAGATGGAATCATTCCAAAGCCAAATGAAACACGGATGCCAACAGGTACCAAACTCTGTTAAGTCTGAACCCCATTTTTAAATCCCCTTGGCTGGCGAAATACTGTGATGCATGGTCAGCTTAGAAACTATTGATCTTTCAAAAGGGTCAAGAGGTCAAGAGAGACAGGAGGTTGACCGGTGATACCCAGGGATATCTCGGCTTCATTCTATGTTGACCCCATAGTGTTAATAGATGCGGTTCTCGGAGCTTAACTGGGTTTGCATATACAGAAATCTAACCGTTGTCCCCTTCAGTTGCAAGGGAACAGCGTGAGAGTTAAGGGAGTTGTGCCAAAGCCTTTTAAAGTTCATTCACCCTTTAAAAAAAAATCCCAAAGAAATTTGTTGAGGGGGTGGGGGTGGAATAAGGCTCTTAGTTTTAAGAAATGATTTGGGTTTGCCGAAAGCCTGTTTTCCTTGGCATTGTTGCAACTTCTTTGGAAATAGATTTGCATGGAGCTGTCCTATGTGAGGCTTTGGGTAAAGGCAAGGAATCCAAGCAACGATCCTTTGCAAATTAAAATCAACAACAATATGGACCCTGGGAATGCCTTCCCCAGAAATGCAAGTTTTGTTTAAAGTATCCAAACCGGAATGATCCAACTTGTTAAATGGTCTCAGTTATGAGGCAGGTTGGAAAAGCCATAGGATGCGAAGGTCTGAATGCTGAAGATTGAGATAAGTCTCGTGCTGCAATGGCACGAAAGCATCACTCATTATTCACTAAATGAAAACATGACCAATAAATAAGCATAAATCAATCCATGCTTATCATAACTGTTGTGTAAGCTTTTTGCTGACCACTTTGGCTTTAACAAAATGAGAAGGGGAGAGGGGGGAAAATAATGTGGAGGAAACAACGGGTAGCTATGAAGTAGTTTAATCTTTGAATATCTATCTCCATCTATGCAGACCCAAAATCAGAAAGCAGAACCTTCCCTGTAAAATGCAGTCGATTCTGCTTTTCCTTTTGCAATATTGTTCTTTATAGCTTTCATCCTCTCTCCTTCCTTTGACCAGCTTAAAGTATATGATGCATAATATCACAGGTAACCGTGATCAGACAAGTACTTGGTTGAAAACTCAGGGAGGGGCCTTATCAGGTAGGAAATAAATAACAGCAGCCGCTTGTCATCAACAGTGTTCTTATAGTGCTTACATTTTTTGTTCCCACTAAATGGAATCAGTTGACCCCTTCAAAAGATGTTAGAAGGCAAACGTGCCTTTTAAATCAAAGGTCAGAGTTCTTGACAAATAACAGTTTAAATAAATCTCTCCAGCTCACATTCTATCTGCTGCATGAAATCCACTTTTTTTTCTGCTTCCATTAAAAAAAAAATCTTTCCCTAACACCCTGGCAGGGAGATCTGCTATGATAACTTACAAAGAATATGGCCCAGGCTTATTTGAATTTCACTTTTAGATGGAATTAAAAGGTTGCCAAGGTAGCTACAGTCCAGTCTAGGATCTATTTTCAGTTTGGTTTGGGTTTATATCCATATAAAATAGCCCCAACTGTATTTTATCACTGCAGTGGATAGAATACTGTCAGCATTATTGGCTTTTTGTATAAAATTGTTCTCTGCAAGTTTTATTTATTTGGAGAAAGTAAGTAAAGATGTATAGAGCTTGATATTTTTCCAGCCATATATGTGTACAAACACACATGCATGCACTAACATTTAAGTCTAGATGCTATTGATACTTTTTTTTTCTGGGGGGAAAAATAAATAGATCCAGGGATTTTAATCACCTGGTTTTCCAGGTAGATTTATTGTCAAGAGATGAAATTGTCTTTTTTTGGAATAGAACTTTAACATAAACAAGTCAAAAGATTTCTGAGAATTATGTAAGTCCCAACAGAGTCTTCCAATTGGGCATCTTTGATCACTGGAGAAATGCTTTAAATCAATGGTCAAATCTAGGATGGCTAGTCAGGCATAACACAGATTTAACATTTTAATGGGGAAATAATGCAATGTTAGTCAACCAAGATGTTGTCATGATGAGAGATAAAGTCAACAAGGGAAAGAAAATCCATACAAAGGGGATGCTTTCAGCGGAGTTGAGATTGAAAACTGTTGCTGACACAACCTACATGAATGCTTTGTTTTATGACATACCAGCACTGAAGTAAGAAACAAAACTCAGGCTGACCTTTAAGGAGTGACAACTACCTACAGAATGGCGATTGTGAAACTCAGGTTTTACCTTTCTTTCTTTCTTTCTTTCTTTCTTTCTTTCTTTCTTTCTTTCTTTCTTTCTTTCTTTCTTTCTTTCACTCATTTATTGGCATCAAATAGATAGCCTGGTGTTGTTAGTGCTCTAGTCTTGCTATTTAATGTTTCAGATTTTTAAGCATAGAGAGATCATGAATGAATGAATGAATGGAATGGAATGGAATGCAAAGAAATTAACTTGTGTTCCTTGCATTCTACCTCATCGTTATGTTTTTGCTTTGATCTTGAATAGTTCAGGAAGACCAATAGTAAAAGTTAAGTGATAACAGTTTGTGTTTGTGTAGAATCCAGTTTAATAGTGACTCCAGGGCTCTCTAATCCTATAAAAGAGAAATATACATACTTGTAACTTCTTTAAATTCTTTGTTTTAAATACTTTGTTTAAAATAATTTTTACTTTTACTTTACAGACATAATTTTTGACAAACATTTGCATGCTTTATTATTATCTATCAATAGTGTAATTTATGTTGTATTTTACTATAGAGAGTTTATGCTATGTTGGCACTCTACTTTCTTCATTTGATTTGATTTTTATTTCATTTATTAGGTTGTATATGTTCTAGACTACTAGACATTGAATAAACTTACTGGTAACTACATAAGGGATCATTAAACTTTTGAACTTGTTAAATTATCAGAATTTTATATGGTAATGAACTCCATATACCAATAGGAACAGCAGAGCAAGTTTTGAGTATGGGACTTGATTCAAAGGTGTTTGGAAGAAGGAATAATAACATCATTGTTAAACTATGGATATTTAAAAGTTAATTTATAAAGTTCTTCTACCCCTGCTTTAGCATGGATTTTTAGTTACTATTTTGCAGATTGATTTATTGTAGGAATTTGACTCAAATTGTGTTGGAGTTTGTTGCTTGTGTTCAGGAATCCAATAATTAAATTTCTAGTGCTTCAATTTAATTCTTGGGAAATAACGTGTTCGTATTTAACTGGGCTGATCTGATTCTCTTTCTTTGTCTTTGCCATTGATGAGTGAATATTTCTACCTTATATCAGCAGTAAGAATATAAAAGAGTTACTCCCACCAAAAGATAGACATATGCCTCCAAGAAATCTAGAAGCAGATTATGAAGGCAAAGAGGGTTTTTTTTTTCTTTTTTTAAACCACTTTGCAATTTCTGTAATTTGAAAAGCAAATGCATGTAGGACATTGATAGTGCTAGACAACATTAAATACAGTAAGTGTTTAGAAACCACATATGACATACTCATTTTACAAATCACATTCTGTTCAAATATTTTTTTAAAGGAATCAAATGTTCAGTGTTCTTTCCATTTTCATGCTGAACAGTTGAGATTTAGGATGTGACTGGAAGGTCACCAGAAGTATAGAATTTGACTTCGGGAGGTGTGTGATGTGTGTGTGTGTGTGTGTGTGTGTGTGTGTGTGTATGTGTGTGTGAAAATGAGATCAGCCTGGCAACTAAAGAGGGTCAGAAGGAGAAACCAGTTAAAGCTCTTTCATCTATGTTATAAATCTTTTCAGAGATCATAGTCTGATCCAGAAACTGTCTGTGTGTTTGTGTGTGTGTGTGAGAGAGAGAGAGAGGGGGGGGGAGGGAGGGAGAGACGGACAGAGAAAAAGAGACAGAGAGAGAGACACACACACACAGAGAAAGACAGAGAGAGAGAGAGAAAGAAAAAAAGACACACAGAGAGAAAATGAGCGAGAGGGAGGGAGGGAAAACACAGTTTTATCTCAATAAACACAATAGATTTTCTGGAATCCTATATATATATAATATCAGATTTTGCAGAAATATGCATGTTTGAATACAAACACAATATTTGTTTCTTAAAGCAACAATGGAAAAGTTAGTATATTTATACACTAGCCTGTTTGCCTTGTCTCTGCAATATAAGTATTTTTTTTTTTTTTACAAAGATCTGTTTCTAATCTGTATATTATTTAACACAGTTGGCTGGGGAAGTTTTCTATCTGAAGCTGTAGGATGTATCCTTTTAATACAACTGGTTTAAGGCTGATAGGTCTTTCATAACTGGAGGTTTGTTTCTTCTTGATCTATGGCAAAATCTGAAATAACCCTAAATTAAGCTGAGGCATCGCTTCAGAGTAATGCCATTGTAAACTACTGTTGAGCAGACTTTATTATTATGGATAATCTGCAACATCTCTTGGCCTTAAAAAGAGCTTAACTGTCAACCACTGTTTGGACTTTTCAGCAAATACAATCCCAGTTTCATTCATGTTAGTTTTGCAGAATCTCCTCAATGGAGAAGAGGCATCGCCTGGTGACTGAAAGCTTTTTTCTTCTCTGAGCTTAGCATATCCACTTTCTAGCTTTCTCCATTGAAAAAAACACACTTGCTTGGAACAATATGCTTCCGATAACGTCAAACATAGATGAGAGGGAGCGGAGATGGCTAGATACTCTGTTGTATTACTTTATGGGGAAATGGAGATGGTCTGTTTATGGCCACAAAACAGGACTGCAATCATGGGGTAAGGGCTGAAAAGAAGGGAAGAGGGAAAACAAAGAGCTTAGCTGGATTCAGTCCATTTCAGACATTATTCAAGTGAAGCCTTCCTTCGACTTGATATAGTCTAGATATAATGCCTACGTTGTTGGTTATTTTTACTAGCATTGGCAATGCTAGTTCAGAATTGATAGAAGTTGTGGTCGAACACATTCTGAAATGCTAATATGGGGAAAGCTGGGGGAATGTACTATATGCATGATTTTGGAGCATAAAATATAAATGTGACTAATTTATATTTTGCTGCGACCATGGAGTTGTTATAACCATGGGATCTACTTTAAATATACAATTATAAGCATGAACATGCTCACAATGCTGTTTGCTTGGCGACAGAACGTATGCGCTGACTGCATTTAAAAGCATTATGGCCTGAGATACTGTAAGGTCCACCCACATTAGATTTATAGTTGTAAATCCATACAGTTTGTCACTTGATATGCCATGCAATTGGCTGATGTTTACTGATGATGGGGAGTCAATTTTTGGCTCATGAACAAATCTGAAAGTGGCCCCTTTGTCTTATAGGCCACTTTGACCGTGTGGGACAAAAGAACCTAGCTGCCTTCACATTTCTAGTTAAGGAGGCATAATTTGCTGCAAAACCAAATTAAAATAAATTTAATTCTTTACTTTAATTATTGATTTAGTTGCCTCACAATTCCAGAATGACTCTGTTCTGCTCATCATGTAGCAAACAGAATAAAACACAATTTATTTGGGAACAAAGATATTTGAGATAGAAAAATTAACTTGCAGAATTGCTTTCAAACAACTGATATAAGGTTTACATGCCAGAAACAGTTTGCAGAACAATGGAAACAGTTGCTTTAGGTGGCACTTTCCACAGGGGGCACTGTTTCACTTGCTCCAAATGTCATATTCACATATTTTAAAAGCAGTGGATTTCCACGTAAAACAGAGATGTTGGAGGGGAAGGTATTTCACATCTTGCACTGCATAGTATGGACCTATCAGTAATAGTTGTTGTTGGTATCTTTTAAATGGTAAGCATCATTATATAGGATATTACCCCTATATAATTGATTGCTACCAGCCTCCTCCTGATTTTAATACTTGCCTCTGTGTTTCAAGTGGAATAGGAATGATACTTAGACATATACTGCTTCATAGTGCTTTACAGCCCTCTCTAAGCAGTTTATAGGATCAGCATATTGCCCCCAACAATCTGGGTCCACATTTACAAGCCCAAAAGGATGGAAGGCTGAGTCAATCTTGAGCTAGTCAGGATTGAATTGGCAGTTGGCAGAGTTAGCCTGCAATATTGCATTCTAACCACTGCGCCAACACAGCTCTTACATGCATATTTTTTGCCAGTTACACAAGAAGATCTTTTCAAAATGAAAGGAATAGGTGGATTAATTTTGGATGAGAAAACAGAAACATTTTCCTGCTATTTTGATATCAAAAAGCAATTCACCTGGAATGCCATTTGATATGCAAGGTTGATCATCATCTCCATGTCCTCCTCCTCCTCCTCTTCCTCCTTCTCCTCCTCCTCCCTCTCCTCTTAAAAAAACCCCACAACAATTATGTGTGGTTTATGGAGTGCATAAAAACAAAGCAAAAAAAAAATGGTTTTATTGTGGAAAGTGGATCATTACAACTTCAGTGAGAAAAATTATAAGTGATGTAGAATTGCTAAGATTAGCTGAATATTCAGATTAAAACTATCCTGAATGACTGCAGTGATACTTCTTTGATGTAGTAAATCAATCACAGGTGGAAACTTTTGGCCCTCAGGATATGGGAGCCATCAATACATTTCTGTAGTCTGCAGAACCGCAATTTCCTAAAATCAGGAGCATGGTTTTCTGACACGAAAATGCATTATGCACAAAAATTGCAGAGTTAGGTTGAAATCTAGACTCACAGACTTTTTAAAACAATATCAACTTCCAAGCTCTTCCTACACCTCTAGAGTATATAAATGTATTTCTCCAGAGGTGTAGAAAGAGCTTGGAAGTTTATATTTTTGGTCTTGTTGTATTCGGGTCTTTTCCCATGTAAGATTGAGATTGTCTTGNTTCTTTTTTTGTCCTCAATCTTTCCCAGCATTAGGCTCTTCTCCAGTGAATTCTTTCTTCTTATTAAGTGGCCAAAGTACTTTGAGTTTCATATTCAGGATCTGGCCTTCTAAAGAGCAGCCAGGGTTGATGATCTCTAGGACTGACCAGTTTGATTACCTTGCAGTCCAAGGGACTCGCACGAGTCTTCTCCAACACCAGAGTTCAAAGGCCTCAATTGTATTGTATTGTAACTGTATTGCTAATTTCTGTTATTTCTCTCTTACTTTTTAGGCCTCTTTGAAGATAATAAATTCCAATGGAGGGTGTTTCTACCGCCTGAGCAGTCTCTCCTTATGTTTACTTTGGTCTAAAAACACAATGGAACACTAAGTCAACCTTCATTGCTGCAGGATGAATCGGATGACTACAATCTGGAAGCAAGCAGAATAATTGTGTCGTCTTCTTCAGTGGTGATTTGCTTAGTGGGTGGAACAATGCCAGAAGGACTAGCAGAAATGCTTATGGATACATGGGCTCCATTGATAATATTATGGATTACTGCATTTCCATCTATATACATGGCTCCAATCAATCATTCCCAAGTACTACCCAGTAGGTCCAGTAGAGGACTAAGTGAACTCAGTGAAGAACAAAGAGTGTTGAACCGTTCGAAGAGAGGCTGGGTATGGAATCAAATGTTTGTCTTAGAAGAATTTTCCGGACCTGAACCTATATTAGTTGGACGGGTAAGTCAATATTTTAAATCCTCCAATGAGACCGATAACACATACTTATTTCTTTGAACTGTTTCCTCAAACTGGCCTCGTAATTCTATGTCCTGTGAATGTTTTGACATGCTACAAGTCAGCTAGAAAAGGAGCTGACCCCTAATTCACTTTTTGCCTTTAGACAGAGCTAAGAAGGACAAGGGTGTAGTTAACTCTGATTCTACCAAAGGGTGATTATTGATTTTATGTGGTTAGCATATCACAGTCAAAGATAATGGTATGAGCATGAGTATGTGGGGGTTGGGTTTTGTTGATATGGATTGTTTGGCAGACAGGACAGGTAGCACTTTCAGTCGTAAACAATAAGAGACCACCGAGTGGGCCTACTCAACTTATCTTGGTACTTCTTCACATTTTTGATTTACTATGTGTAATATGTAGCTGAGCACATATAAAATTAAAACTTTGTTAGGCCTATCTTGCTGGAAGATNGCCAACTCAACATCATTTAGGTTGATGGGCGCTTCTCCTTACCTGTTACAATGTAATAAGGATTAACTGGAGAGGCAGTTTCTGTAAGCAGGGCAATAAAGATTGGGCTAGAAACAACACCAGAATGTTTCCTTCCTGCCTTCCTTACAGGATTAGCCAAGTAAAATGGGAGAAAAAATTTCTCCCAACAACCAGTTCTCCGAACTGCTTGTTAACAACCGGTTCTCCGAACTGCTTGTTAACAACCGGTTCTCCCAAATAGTTGCAAACTGGCTGAATCCTACCATTGCCTTTAAACCAATGAAGGAGGTGCCACATTGGTTTTCTTTTCTTTTCCTTTACGTCAGAATAGAGACACTTTGATATATGGACATATTTGGTATTTGGAATTTAGAGAACAGAGCACACATGTTTCCACAACATGGGGGGGGGGGGTGGATAGGAACTGAATATTCATATAAAGGTTGCCCTAATCTACAGGACCAGCCAGAGAAAATTCAATTTGCCAGAGGATAAACTGGTAATATTATTCCCAAACACCACCATCTCCCTCAATGCTATTTTCTGTGTCTGTTTACGTTATCTCCAAAGAAAATGCTGGCCTGTAGCCACTCCCTGTATATGCAGATATGATAAAAATGTCTATGGGTTCAAATAGAACCACAGGCATTGTTGCACATTAAAAAAAATGTTGTGGTTTTCCCTTTGGCAAGCCAGTTTCTTTTTTTAATTTAAAATAATATTTTGGGGGCAGAGGGTGAGAAGCCTGGTGAATGAAGGAACACGTGGGTCTCAATTTTATGCATTCAGTTTGATTTCCCCGAAATAACTGATTGTCGGTTATCAGGAAATATCCAAGGTGTTCAAGGCAAAGACAAGGCAGAGCCATGGGATACTGAAGGTAAACAGAATTGTGAGGAATGATTAGCAAAGGGAGTCAGTATTTCTGTACTGTGTTATGTCTGTGTGTGAGAGAGGATGACAGTGAAAGTGACAGGGTCCTTCCCGGATAATCTGATTCTGTGCCGTGGTAGCACAATGGTTAAATGGCTAACTCGCTGCCCACTGCCAGTAGTTCGATTCTGATTGGCTCAAGAGTGATTCCATCTTTCAGTCTTCCAAGGTTGGTAAAATTAGGACCCAGAGGGTTGGGGGCAACATGCTGACTCTGTAACCACTTAGAGAAGGCTGTAAAGCACTATGCAGCAATATACAAGTCTAAGTGCTGTTGCTATAATCAAGCAACTCAAGGAATAGAATTAGGACTATGTTCAATTTTACCTAGCTTCATATCAGAAAATGAATTCAAGTAGGGAAAAACAAAAAGATCATTGTCTTTCCTCTTCATTCCACCACTTGGAGTTTCTCTACCTCAACATTTGATGACTGGCACCTAAATGTACAAACTCGCTATACTTAACCATACTGAAGTGTGAAATGGTGTGATGTGTGACTCTTTATGTATTCTATCTATCTAGATCTGTTTGATATCTTTTAATCAAAGGGGATATGGTGGTTCAGTGGCTAAGAGGCTCAACTTGTCTATCAGGAAGCCCAAGTGTCGCGTAACATAGTGAGCTCCCATTACTTGTCCCAGCTTCTGCCAACCTAGCAGTTCAAAAGCATATAAAAATGCAAGTAGAAAAATAGGAACCATCTTTGGGAAGGTAACAGTGTTCCATGCGCCTTCTGCGTTTAGTTACACCGGCCACATGACCACAGAGACGTCTTCGGACAGCACTGGCTCTTTGGCTTTGAAATGGAGATGAGCACCACCCCCTAGAGTCGGGAACGACTAGCACATACATGCAAGGATAATCTTTACCTTTATCTTTAATCATTACCTGTTCCAGAAGATACCGCATAAAGTACTACTTTACAAGAAATGAACTTGCTTCTGAAGCACTGGCAATGCCATCTTTATTAATTAGTCAATAATATTCAAATTCTCAAGGATCCATTACATGAAGATAGATTTTTCAGCCTCTTAGGTAAAATATAGCGTGATATGCTTAATCTTACTTTATTACTTATACTGTTGATATCCATATATTATTTAGATTTGAACCTTATCTTTAATTTACAAAACAATACATTTTCAGTTGCTTAAGACTAATGTATGAAATATTGAAAAAAGTAACCTAATTTTATGATGCTTGTGAATTCCCTCTTTACTGGTTTTGTGCTTTATTCTTTTTTCTCTCTTCTCTTGTTTGTCTATTTTCTTTCCCTTTTTTTACTTTTAAAAGTACTTATTTTTTGAAATGCCAAGTTTAATTTGGCAGATATTCAGTAAACACATGGAAAAGAATTGTTATCTGACCTTAATTCTATTTTTTCAGCATAATATATTCATTTGGGTCTTAGTATATACATTTTAATCTGTTTATACAATTGTAGAAGACCGCAAATATATTCATGTAATGCCACTCTGTGTGTTTAGGCATCTTCAGTGTTTTGAAAAATATATATATTGTTAAGAAAAATCAAAAGGCTGAAGTCAGTGACATTGATTTGCCAGCACTAATGCTTAGAGACCGTTTAAAGGAATCTCCAACATTGCTTATAAACAATGTAATAATACAAAGATTGATAAATATATATATATAAATTATGGGTACTTATTTATATTGTATTCTAGCCAAAAAACACATGTGTTTAATTCTGCATCAGTTGACCGCTATTATAAAAATATGAATGCAAATTTCATGCACTTCCAAGTTTACATGCAGAAACAATTCACTGTTTCAACATACATTTTTTTAATAGTCACAATTTTTGGTTGTGCTGGTGGAAATCAGCAATTTTTGCTTTGCTGGCCATTCTGGACTCAGATTTCTTAAACCAGGCTTTTAACATGAATTTCACATTGTACAACTGCGTTACTCAGTTTGGGAACTCAAACCCCAGTTTGAATATTAATTCCAGAATGCAAAACAGACTTGATTCATATTATAATGAAGAATATGCAAATTTCTTTTCCTTTCTAGATTGTTGTTATTATTTTAAGAATGGTGTATTTTTAAAAAAGAATATTGCTTTTTTAAATGTGAAAATATGGTGTGCAACTTCTCCCTTCCCGCCCCTTTGTTTTAGGCTTCACATAAATTTTAATTTGGGCGCTTTATATTTTAGTTTGCACAGTTAGTACAAATTAAAACACTTAAGGAGAATTCACCCCTGCTGCAAGGAATACTGATTATACCTAGGAAGTAGAGGGTTGCTGAATAACAAATCTTGGCATGAATTTTTTGTTCAGTGATATTTGGTGGGTCATATGTCACCACCAATGCTGTAGATTATATTTAATTTTTTGTAATGTTAAAGCATGTGGAAGCATGTGTTAACCAATGTTAAAGCATGTGGAAGATTCAGAATATCAGGTCATTCTACACCATAGGCATAAGGTATATAGAAATGCAGGTGGTCCTTGATGTATGATCACAATTGAGCCAGGGATGGGTTCCTGCCAGTTCTAACCTCCTCTATGGAAGAGGTTCCACAAATCTACAGTGCCGTTTAGAACCGGTTCCAGCTCCCTCCCCCCGCCCATCCGTACATCATCAAGATGAAGAGAGAGAGAGGAGGAATTCTGGGAGTTGAAGTCCACAAGTCTTAAAACTGTCAAGTTTGAACACCCCTGGGGTTTTTTTTCCTAAAGGGTTAGAGGTGCAAGTGTTTTGTAACTTGACAGCTTTAAGACTTGTGTGCTTCAAATGCCAGAGTTTCTGAGCCAACGTGACTGGAGGAGGAATTCTGGGAGTTGAAGTCTGCAAGTCTTAAAGCTGTCAAGTTTGAACACACCTGGTTTTTTTTTCTAAAGAGTTAGAGGTGCAAGGGTTTTGTAACTTGACAGCTTTAAGACTTGTGTGCTTCAAATGCCAGAGTTTCTGAGCCAACGTGACTGGAGGAGGAATTCTGGGAGTTGAAGTCTGCAAGTCTTAAAGCTGTCAAGTTACAAGACCCTTGCACCTCTAACCCTTTAGGAAAAAAAACCCCAGGGATGTTCAAACTT